GCAGTAAAACACAACCACTTCCAATCCCTCTCACATGTGAAGCTTAAAGACAGTGGAACCACCCTAGAAATCTCCTGTATATTAGCCCTACATTGCATCAGCCTGTTCCAATTGGTCACCAGGTACAAATTATACTGCTTCAGCACCTCTTGGGAATGAGGTGATTATGGAGGAGAAATGGAGAGGTACTGCCCCCATCTCCCAGAACCTGCCACACTGCTCATGTCCAGCCTTGCATCCAGGAAAGATGGATGACCCAACAGATCAACAGATACCCAGCACTGGGCTAAGGATCAGGGGTCTATAATAAAATAATTTTTAATTTATAAATGCCATGCCTGATATTTTGACCAGGGGAGCCCCTTTGATCCAAGCACTCAGAGAAGCTCAGAGCAAGTTGAAGACCTAGCTAGAAAAAACATCCCAAACACACTCAGGTGCAATGAATTACCAGTAAACCTTTTAGATTGTCAGTTTTAGCCTAAAAGAATTTTTATAACCCCAACAAAAGCTTCCTGTTTTGCTTGGCAACTTTTCTCCCTCACACTTGCTGCAGGACACAGCAGTCTGGTGAACACCTCCTGCTTGTTTTCACCCACCAAGAGCAGTGGCTCTGGGAAGCTGCAACCCAGACCATTGCAGGAGAGTTGTTAGCTTTTTATTCTCCCTTGAATACACAGACCTGGTCACAGGGACTGGCTGCAACACTCCCCTGGGACTTGCACAGGAGCTCAGTTTGAAAGCAAAGGTTGAAGTAAACAACTCACCTTCACCTCTGTGTTTTAAACACACTTTATCCAATAAAAGCTGTTCACAGTGGCTGCTGCTTGCTCAGCTGTACAGCAAGAGAAAAGAGTCACATCCTGGTAGAAGCCAAGGGCAGCTCTGCTCAACCCCAGCAAGCAGTGGTACAGCAAAACCAAGCCCTGCAGATCCGGCACCGCCAGGTACGCTCTCAGTGCCACGGCAGCACCAGGTTGGGCACCATATCAAACCATGGCCCTACTCACCTGCAAAACCAGCTCAGCCCAGAAACAGTTCACGACATCTGATCCACTGGGGATCTCTAGCGCAGGATCTCTGGCGCTAGAGCAGGAAAAAATAAACATCATTGCTTCCTTTTGAACATACAAGGCCAAAAGCAGAACAGTCACAGCAGAGCACCTGAATGGCACCCAGCTGCCTCGGACCTGCTCTCCAGAGGAGGGGCGTCCCAAGGAGCAGCTTCTCCCACAGGACCTCACGAGACAAGATTTCTTCCCAAAACTCTGGGGCTGAATGCAGGGGCACCAAGAAACACAGACACTGGAAAGGAACGTCGAAGGTGGACAATGTCCTGCTTGTATGTCCCACCCTGGGGACACCTGAGTGGTACCGGGCATTGCTTCAGGGTGGCCTCGCAGGGGAGGAGCCCCTGACCCACAGCACGCCCGGAGCTTTACACCCGTTCCGGTCCCCAGCAGCACCTAGCCTCCTCCCCATAACCAACATAGATTTATTACTTCAAATCACAGTTCTGGCGATTCTCCATGAGCTGCCGGCCCGAGGGCCCAAAAGACGGCTGGCACCAGGGGAGAAACCGGTGCTTTCGGCTATTATTCCCGGTCCCCATGGGTCGTTCCACGCCCCGGCGGCAGGCGCGGGCAGTTTCCCATCTGCCCTCCTCACAGGCAGCGGGAGCAGAGGTCGCCCGGTCCCTGCCCGGCCAGAAGGCCGTGCCCGGGCGGAGGGCAGGGTCTGACCCGAGCGGCCCTAGCACCCGGCCCGGCCGGCCTGCAGCAGGCGCAGCTCTCGGCCCCTCTTAGCTGCAGGCAGCGCCCTCGGGGCACCGGCTGCAGCCCCGCCATCGGCCCAGCTGCCGGAGCGGTGAGGGACCAGCCGAGCCCGGCCGGCGTCCCCCCAGATGCAAGCAGGCCGCGGCCTGGGGGAACCGGAGCGAAGCAGCTCTGGCCCGCCCGGCCCTGCCGCCGTTCCCCCAGCACAGAATGCCCCCCGCCCCGGCGCTGGCCGGAGGGACGCGAGCGCCGCCCCGCTCTCCTCACCCGGGGCTCGCCGGTGACGGCCGGCCCGGAGCGCTCCCGGCTGCCGGCTCCCGCTCGCCCCGCCCCTCTCCGGCTGGCACGCCCCGCCCCGCCCCGCCCCGCCCCGCCAGGCGGCGGCTGCGCGCGGCGGACAGCGCGGGACGCGCGCGGACGCAGGAGGAGCAGCAGAGGGGGCGGAGCTTCCGGCGGGGCCACAGCCCCTTCCCGCGGCTCGATCGCCGCAGCCGGGGCAGCCCAAGAGAGCGCCCCCTGGCGTGATGCGGGGCCGGTGCAACTCGCGCCCCGTCCCCTGGACCCCGCGGCCCAGCACGCGAGCCGCGCACTGCACCGCGCCGGGGGCCGCCGGGACCTGCTCACCCGTGCCCCCTGTGAGAAGGCTTCTCGCCCCTCACGGCACGTGCCGGTCCAAAATGCCGCTGGACGTGACTGATAAACAACGTGTAACCTGTTAGCACAGCGTTACCTGTGCTGGGGCTGCGGCAGCTCCGCACGCGTCCCGGCTGAGTGACGCCCAGCGTCGGGCTCCGGAGCAGCCGGAGGGTCCGGTTAATGGGCTCCTTCCCTCGGGCGCTGGACAAACAGGTTCCGCGATGACAAAGGACACACGGGCCGTGCGTTACGGCCCTGACCACAGGGCCTGGCTGGTCGCGGTACTGGGCAGAGTTGCTCTGCAGCGCTTGGGCCCTTCGGTGAGACTGTTTCTGCTGATGGTCGGGCTTTGTCACTGCTGGAAGGAAAACCCGGCAGATAGGTTGGCAGACATGGACAGCAGTAGTCAGCAAGGGGGAGCACCAGGAGGGTTGAGAAAAAAAAGAGTTAAACGGATTGATGATGGTGATAATGATGTTACTGTTACTATACTTCAGTTTTCACTAGTTCAGTTATTAAACCGTTCTTATCTCAACCTGTGGGTTTTACCTGTTTTTCCACTCATCCTCCCCATCCCACTAGAGGAAGGATTATGTAAGCAACTGGCTGTGTGGGATTTAGCTGGTAGTTGGGCTTAAACCATGACAGAGGAGCAAGCAGTCTTCCCTACCTTCTTCTCCTTCTCCAAGAGAGACTTGCTAGAAGGACCCAGACACAATTCCCATCCTTGTTCTTCCACTCTATAAAAGCTTTGACACCTCTCTTTCTCAGCCTCTTCAGTGCTGTTGGCAGGGAAAGTCTGCTCTCTGGTGCTGGTACACCCGCCCAAGCCACCTCCAGATTCAGCAGCAGTGGAGTTTGCTGCTGGTGGAGTTCGCCTCTCTCCTGCTGTGTTTTCACATCCGTTTCCCATCTGTTCCAACCCTCTTCATCAGGGTTGTTCATAGAGGGAGTTCCAGGCACTGCTTTTCTCTGATGTGGAGCCAAGGAGGTCATTTATGAACAGTAGCTTGACATACTGTAATACTTGCCTTTCTGTAGCAGCTTTCTAGCAGGGATCTCACGGCTTTCTGTAAAATTCTGTTAAATCTCACAGGCCTTCCTTGTATTTGGCACTACAGCTCTTTTGCAGCTGGAGGAAAATATTTCAGCTTGGTTACGTGTCCTGCCTGGAGCCATACAGTGAATCACTGGCAGAAAGAGGAAGAGAACTCAGAAGCTCTTTAACTGCCAGCTCTGGCCATCACACACTTCTCTTTTCTCCACCCTTAGAGTTATTTAACTCAGCACACATACTTAACACATACATTTTCCCAGTATCACTAACCACTAAAATCTGGGTCTCATGTAGCAGCTTCATACCTTCACTATGAAGCAGTACACTGAGAAAAGCCAAGGCAGAAGCATGTAAAACTCGTGCTTTCTGGGAGGTTTCCCCATTTTCCTCACCTGCTTGGCCACATCACACGCCCACCACTGGCACCATAAACTTGTAATATTTGCCACTATAGAACCTCTTGTACCAATCAATAAATTTTCTAAAATATTCATTTGTTCAAATGAAACTGCTGTTGATGGGAAAACCTCGACAGGACAATAGGAAGGGATCACACAAGCAAACACACATGTCCTGGTATCCTGTGAAGGACTAGCAGCCTGAAGAGGCTGGCAGCACTTCAGCCCTTCACCATTCGGTGATAAAGCAGAAGAGGAGATACACTGAAGGACTAACTATTGATCCATATTTTCCCCTCACGTTTAAATTAATTTCCCGCTGATTTCTGCTGTTTCTTTGATGTGACAGGAACTAAAAATTCACAGTGTTACAGAATAAGAAGACATTTATGTCTTTTCAGACAAATCTAAAAGTGTTAAAAAATATGCAGGGCTGTCTTATGGTTAGCTGTTTATTTAGGCCACAAATGCTAAATAGCAAACTACTTTCTTCCTGTATGTATTAGCAAAAAGGGTCTTGTAATTAAATGCAAAGTTTTTAAGTTATGGAATGAAATTTTCAGGCAGGCACATAACGTTCCCTACCTCCTGCCTTGAGTTTAGATTCTCATCTTTATGTTCAGATCCCAGGCCTGAACCATACAAACCTGGACAGCGTAGGATCCACTTACTAAATCAAAACTCAAGCCGCCAAACCAAACTGAACCGAACCGACTGCAGTGATGGACAAAACACTCAGCAATACCTGCACGGTGTCTTGAGCAGCAAAGACCTACAGCAGCAGGAGATGGAGGAATTTCCAGTTTGGAGACCAGTCCTTTCCAGTCTGATACGTGGCATCCTATGATTCTTCAACAAATTTACTATGTGCTACCTTTGAGATGACCAGGCTTCTTGCTCCTTTAAATAGTTTTTCTAACACTTCTTTGGAGGAATGTGGGTCAGTAGAAGGTTCTCAAGCCACTTTTACTTAGAACTAGTGTGCACCCATCTTTTCTTGTGTGTATACTGACTTCAGTCTCCAGTGAGTTTGATTACTTCAGGTTGAAACTTCTCATTACAGGTTTCATTTTGCTAGGACAAATAAAAAAAGATAAAATAAACAAAATCTGTGTTCTTACAAATCATTATTACATTTTAACAATATTTTAGAATAGGAATGCATACAATTGGACAGATTACTCCAGGCGCTTTGCCAGGTCTTTTGCCTTAATATTGACTTCTGCCACAGGAATTTCCATGGATACTACAAGCAAACTTTCTTGGAGTTACAGGAGAAAAACTTTTGTAGGCTGTAGCCTATGAGGTCCTCCTTTTGCTGTGGAAGCACTGAACAGTAGAGTAGCATCCTGCACATCTGCTTATCAGCTATTTAGTGAGATATAAAGGTTGTTTTTATTTAACAAATTGCGATGGAGCTTTCATCTCTTCCTTTCAGATGTCACCAACTCTGGTAGCTTCTGTGAATGATAAGCAGTCATTCAGACTCCCCTCCCCAAGGCCAGCAATCACATTTGTACATGGCTTTGATTTTCTGTGAATAAAAGATCATGTACGAGTCTGGGGGAGCGTGTTATGCATCTTTGAACTCCCCTGAAAATCATTTTAAACCATTTATAGCTCCAGTCATTTGGAATTAGGGTGCACAACTTTGACTCATGGCCAAACAGGTTTGGTAAATTCCTCCCAGATGCCAGGCATGGGCCAGTGATCAGAAGGGAGCTCTTCTCTGCAGCCATATTCTGTTCTCCTCAAATCAGCAGCAATGCTTCTTGCAGTTGTTTGTGTTTGATCCAGAAGGGAATATCTCCCTTTACCTGCACTGTGGATATTCGTACCTCCTACTGTAGTGTATCACACACACAAAGAATGGGGCTATACACACCTTTTCCTGGTGAAAAAGGTACTTTATAGGGAAATGTGTATTGAAATGTTCTCTCAATTTCTCTTCCTGGGGCATGCCTTCAATTTTCATTGTCTTAGCGGCAATCATGTACTTCCTTCTTTATCCTGAGGAAGATCTTACATTGTCTTTGAGCTACAGAAGAACAGACATCCACAAAACAGCCTTTTGTCCTTTTTTTAACCTCTCTATTGTATGTGAAGTCCTGAGTAAGCTTAGATTCTTTTTCTTGCTGAAAACATGAGACTGTTTACACAGAGCGTTCTTTTCTTCCATCCACACAGAAACAAGGAAAGCATGAACACCCTACGCTCTGTCTCTCTGGGTTTGCAAACTGTGCTTGTAAGAAGTGCTGGGTTTAATGTAGCCTTGTCAATAAACTCATTCTCTACAGTGAGTGACACTTTAGACTGTCATCAAGCACTTTTAATGAGGGATCCCCTAACAGGCTTCAGGGGTTTCAACAGGAATTTAAGAGCCTTACACAAATGCACTCTAACCAGAGAGGAGCTGACATTGAACAAAGCAAAGCAGCCTAGCCGTAATGACACCAACAGAGCCTTCATGCCAGCATGTCCTTTAGTTTTACAAGAGTGACTGCAGAATAAATAGCAAATACAAACATTTGTTCCAGCCCTAATTGATAGCTTTAAAAAGCAGAAAATTAATTTCTTATAGCCATGGCACGCTCCTGTTTTTCATGCGCATGTGTAAACAGCACTTTAAAAAAACTTTGCTGGCGGCTGTGTAAAGAATTACATTCCAATGACCACCCCAAATTTAGAGTCGAAAGACATTTTTCATGCAAGATTTTCATCTCCTTCCTGGCAAAAAAACTATCTTGAAAAAGTACTTCACAAGCCTCTTCCAACATCTGTGGGAGCTGCTGTAAATTTGACAAGGGGGAGCTCATCTGAAAGGACTTTCAGAAACCCTGATTATTTACACTCTTATATTTCCTTTTCTTTTCCTACTACCTCATCTTGTGGGGTACACAGCATTTACAATAAAAGCTATTATGCACAGGTGATTTCTGACATTATTTCACATCAGCATGACCCCCCCTTTCCTCTTACAAGTGTCACTGCCTGCTGGTGCACTACCACCCACCATGAGTACACTTCTCCTGGTTACTGACTTGCACAGGTGGTAAAAACATTTCCCACTGCATTCAAATCCCCAAGTTTTATGCCCAGTCTGATTCCTCCCAGCTTACAATCAGGTCAGGCCAGCCCATGTGCAAGCAGAGCAGGGTGCACCGCTCCCATTGCGGTGATGGCTTCAGTTCAAACTGGACCATGTCTAAGCCCACCACTGCAGCTCTGCTAGACAAGCTCATTTATTAGTGTCCCCATAGAAGCTCAGCTGACCTGATTTGTTCAGGAGGCCTAAACTGGATCCTATGGCTGCTGTTCTTTCCCTTGACAAGACAGCTTGAACTGCTGACACTGATATAGGCTTAACTTTGCAGCAACAGAGCATAGAAATACAATCCCAGTGATGCCAAGTATGCCATAGTGAGAAGGGAAACCATTTAAAGGGAGATCCAGGAATATTTTTAACACTATAGTTTATTCAGCTATAATGCCAAATGTGATCCACATCTGAATTTTGAGTGCAAAGCCCTAACGCGAGCATGGCGGAGGAGACAGAAGAGAGTGGCACAACAGAGCAGTGTCTTGTCTTTTTATTACAATGTTTATTGCTGCTGTGGCAGAGGATAATATGTGAGAAACACCTGCACTGAGCCCGAACACCAATGAGCACTAGAAATTGCATTGCCCTCCTCTGCATGCCACAGCTTCACCCTCCATTTTAGTAAACCACTAAAGCACATTTTCTGCTGGAGGTTAGCAGCTTTTCCAACCAGGTTATTTTTCAGACACTGCAGCTCTCATCTGTGAAGTCAGAAATGGAGTTTAGATAAAGCCCCAAATAACAAGATGTCACTTGGCTCAGCACTGCAGACTGAAGATAAATCAATTTCCCAAGATTTTAGCAGTTTATGAGGCAGTTCTGGCATTTAACTGGTCTCCTTGCTGTCATTTAAGGGGTCTGTTTAGCCAAATCTGAGCCTTACAGAGTCCCTCTGAAGTTCTGAGAGAGCAGGAGGGTTTTCAGCCCTGCGATGTGACCTTACTAGGCATATTGAAATGACAGAGATACACAGCAGTGGCAGTTAACTCAGAGCCACTCACCACACACGACATCCAGTTTGCTCCCCCTTGCTCCAAGCACATCCCCATGGTTTTTCTGTTTACTTCAGTACCAGCAAAGGTCCCACTTTTGTGAAGAAATGCAACACTGCAAAGACTGGGGAGCCCATGACACACACCCCACAGGGACTCATGCCAAAACTCAGAAGCCTCAAAGCAAGCCTTTTTCCTATTTAGCTGTGAAACCTTTGCTCCTCCCATATGAACAGGAAGTCTTATGCCTCTAAAGAATTTGTTCCTGCACCATTTGCCTCTTGTCCAAAAAAAGTCCCTCAAAAAATAACATAAAAGGATTGCATTAAGTCCATCACTGGAGTAATACTTTTTTTTTTTTTTTCCAGACAGACACAGCCTTTTCTGAGTTACTAAAGCTAAAATTCTTAAAGAAGACTCACCATGGAATAGACAGATTATGTCCCAAGTTTATGCCTTGATCTTTCTGCAAGTCTACATTAGTCTGAGCTAAATTGCATGGAACAAGTGGTCCTGTTGGTCCAAGTGATTAATTTTAAACTCTTGTCAAATTGAAGAGTCTAGCAAGGCTCTTTGTGCAATCCCTGCATTTTCATATGAACAATTTTAGAGGAAAACATATAGAAATTGCCAGAGTTGCAAAAGCTTTGAATTCGCAAATATTTCAGTGTCAGGGACAGTTCTCTGACAAATTTGAGTGTTATTTTCCTGGAATAAGTGATCAAGTGACCTGATGTGAGTCAGTCACCACTGTACAAGACACACAAGATTTACCATTAATTCAAAGCAGCTGGTGCATCGACTGAGGTAGAGGAAAGGCTGCTGCTTTCTAGCAGCAGTACCTTGGGGAAAAACGAAGAGGATTCAGAGGACTGACTGAGGCTGAAAAGAGATTCTATTTCATATAGCACGCAGCATTACCTCCACATTTAGCCTTAGCCAAGTAACAATCCATCTTTCTTGTACACTAAGCAACACATCAAAATCAGAACCACAACAAAGACAGTGCATGCTCCTTAATCATTGGTTCACTGTCTCACTACAATTCAAAATGAAGTCATCTGACATACAGATTATCTCCATGGCTGGAGAAATAAATCACAAAATCCTGGATAGGAAGACAGGCTGCCTCAACTTTCAATCTTTCTCAGAAGACAAGTGTGGTGGAAACCAGTCCTCAAGCATAACGCAGCCGCCACTTTTTCTTACTTGCCTTTTTCCAGTGGCTAACAAATGAATGCATATGACTAGCAGGAACTGGATCTCAGCCATATTTCTGAAAGCAGAAGACTGCATAAAGACAGCTCCAGTATGAAGTAGAAAAAGACCTTTGTGGCAAACTGTATTTAGCAACATCACCAGAAACCTCTGACTCAGAGATGCATTCTGCCCAGCTGCACACTCAAACCACCATCACCACTCCACATACCTGCCAAACCAGCCAACTCAGCCCACTTGGAGCTCTGCCATGAGCAGCTGGACAGAAGATGACTGATACAGCTGTAAAGCAACACTTAATGAAGAAGTTCTTTTTATTTCAGGGTTGTAACTAAGAAAGACTTTGTCACACTGCTACTGGCAAGGCAGGAAGGCTACTGACAAGTTGTACCAGGAGAAACAGAAGATGGAATCAGGTTGTTATTGCACTTCAGACTAGTCCATATTGGCTTGAGTAAACCTCAGATCAATATAACCTAGCTTTTGCCTTGCCTGTTTCTGCTTCCTGGAAGGTAACCCAGATAAAAGGCCTGCCTGCATTGCCCAGACACAGAGGAAGGTGCTCTGTCTCTAGCAGGAAACTGTTGCACTGGCTGCAGTTTTGGGGGGCCTCTTGGTGTAGCAGAGGAGGGCATTGCTACACCAACAAAGTGTGCAACACCCCACTGCCAAATGTTCCAGCTCCAAACAGCTTCCCAGGCCTGCTGCTCCCACTGTCCCTGCAGCTTAGCAATTGTGGTTTCCATTGTACAGGGACACAAAACACCCCACACATGCACTTAAAGACAAAAGACTTAAGCACTTGCAGGGTAGCATCACCTCCTGCAAGACAGGCTTAGCCTCTTCCTTGGTGGGCAACCCAGACACCTTCACCAGCTCCCAGGTGGGCACCACTGCTTGCTGAACAGTTCAATGGTGAGCTGACAGCTCCCTCCTCTGTCAGAAAGCACTAAAAGCAGAGTAAAACTCTCAGGGTCACTTGGAGTTGATATTATGAATTTTCTTTCATTTTCTGCATGTAGGTAGAGCAAGTCTCCAGGACAGTTTCAGGGTGCTACAGGACCCCTCAGCCAAATGCACTGAGAGCTACTAAAGCTTCAGTTCTCAACCTGCCCTACTGCAGCTGACGCAGGTGAGCCATCAGCAGGGCATGGCCAAGACTTTCTTCCCCTTCCAGCTGTATAAACACATACCAGGTATCCTGCTTTGGTCCTCCTTTGATGTCTTCTCCAGAAATCAGCAGCAGATGGCAGGAAGGGAGCAGAGCAGAGGCACTGTCCTGCTCAGGCAAGGCTGGAGGTTCTCTTGTAGGTGACAGGCAGGTCTGTCCTTGCTGCTCAGCTACAACATGTTTCACACTGAGGAGGTATCCATCAGCCCTTCCTTTCTGCATGTAAGAAAAAAACCATGGATTTACTGAGCATTTAACGACAGGCTGAAATCACATAAGGAAACTTAGTCTCAGTAGGATGTTATCCCTGATGTGTTCCCTTTGCTGACAAGCCAGCATGGGGTATGAGTAGCGTTGCCTCTACTGTACCTTTTGTGCCCCATGCCAAGTTGAAGTCTAAGGGCATAATTAATATATTTAGCTACTGTGCACTTAAATCCAGCAGAAAGCTTAAAGCAAAGGTGCTATGTTGTTGTGAAAGAAGCTAAATTGTGAACTGGACTTCAAAGCAGCTTTCAACTGAGCTGCAAGTTAAAAGAACTGAGCAGAAAAATAAATGACCTGCAACAACAAAAAAAAAAAAAGCGAAAATTAAGAAAGGTTTTCAGAGCTGCACAAGGAGCTGCTTATGCTGTATTTGTGGGAGAGAGGAAGGTGGGTCACACTAGGATTAAGGGATGAGCTTCTAAAGGTCACTGCTGTCACGCTCAAGAGCCAGCCAGGGTCTGTAAGACATACAGACTTCTGGATATGCATTTCTGGATAGGGATGCAAGATTAACTTTTGATCCAGGTAATCACGCTCACATAAGGAGACCAGGAGAATCCCACACTTGGACAGGGAATACAGAACACAAGGATTCTGGTCACTTTGCTGTAGGATTTTTAAGAGTGCTTGCTGCATCTGGGGAGGCAGGGGACAAGCTTCAAGACCCAGGCTGTTCTTGCAAGGCCTATGTTCCTCTGAACTTAGATGGTTTCTGTGCAGGGGTTTCTCTCAGTGGGAATACACAGCTGCTTTCTCCTCCAGCAGTGCTGTAGCACAGCTTGCTGCTCCCTAGGCCAGGGAAGCCTTACCAATGCCATCTTGAAGGTGTCTGCCACAGCAAACCTGTGCTAGCGTCACACAGTAGCTGCACTGAGCTGGGGCTCATAGGCTTCATTTCTCCAACCATGGAGCCTGTGTTTGACTAAAGGCCATTAACTTTTTGAAGCTCCTGCTCCCCTTCTGCAAATCAAAGGCTTTGGATTTCCCTCTCCCTGAGGAAAAGCAGTCCCTTGTTCTGTGAAAATCCCCTGTCCAGAGCACTGGAGCTCTACCCCTTAGGGCTGTCGTGACAGCCATACTAATCAACACAATGCCCATGGGTGTATCTGCAAGCCAACGAGCTAATTGCTACAGCAACAATGAAGGAGGGTGCCAAAGGACTGGCTTCCAAGGTGGCCACTTCCTTCAGGACTTCAGACAGGCAATTCACCCTTCAGGCTTCTTTATCTGTGAGACAGGCCAAAACCTAACTTCACCAGGGCCCCCACTTGGCCTAAATGCTGTGCAGACTGGGGAGAGAGGAAGAATTATGTCCTAAATAAAAGAAATAGATCTCTTTTTGGTTTGGACTCTGTTGCTTTAACTTTTTTTTTTTTTTTTTAATACTGGCACCATTGGGAGAGTTTTGCTTCATTTGCTTAATAAGGCCACAGATTGAGGAACCTGGAAAGGCACTTTGCTTGTTTGGAGTGGCTTGACCTGCTAATGTTCATTATTTATTAATCTGAGCAGCCTCGGTTCAGACAAAAGTTCTTGACTTTAAGAGTTGTATCTCCAAATATCCTGGAAAGGTAAACTGTTGGGGATTTTAATTTATTTTAAACAACACACACCACCACCCAAGCACATTCTTACTGTGGTAGGCAGATGCCTCACACTGCTCAGCTTATAGTGCTAAAGTAAAGATGACACTGACATACCACCCTATTATGCTGGTAAGCATGTCTGGAAACTGTCAGTGGTATAAAAGCAAATAATGATACAATTAGATAACAGAAAACATTTGGGCTGGGTAAGTTAGGGAAGAACTTTTGCTAAATTATGTCATGCTGTGGCGTGAGAAGTAAGCTCTCACTTTCCTGGCACAGAAACACGGCTTACTCTTCAGCTTGACTAAAAATACAACCCATGTTAAATTCCCCGAGAACAAATCTTATCAGCTACTGCTTCTTATTATTTCCTCTCATTTTTTGTTGCCATTTTTTGTGATAACTATAAACACACTTGAGAGACTGTTCTCTGCAATAAGAATATTTGTAAAAAAATATTCTGGGATGTTTCAGCTGTTCCCAGCTATCAGTTAAGAAACCTTTCTTCCCCTGTATGGATTTGTATCTTAGAAAAAAAAAAAAGGGGGGGGGGGGGGGAGGAGGGAAAGAAGCGTTTATGACCAAATACCTTCAGAATCTGTTGCTTTAACTCAAATTCTGCATGCGCTGTGTGAGAAGAGCTGCATATTTCTACTACTTCTTATCCTGGCAGCTGGCACCTAACAGGGTCCTGGCTGTAATATGAAAGTCGGGATGAAGACTTTTTTCAAATAATGACATACACAACACAGATAAGAAAATGTGGCAAGACAGCAGTATGGACCCCTTCAAAAGGTGTGGTTTACAGAGAGTTAGACTGAGGATCCTCATAGCTGTAGTAGAGCTTGATGGCTACTGTCTTCATCAAAAAAACAAAGCTCTCAATCCATTAAAAGCTATCTACTTGCCAAACTGGAAAAAAAGCAGCTCCCAAAGCACTTTGATTAACACAATACCTACTTGAACAGCCCTCACCTGAGAGAGCAATGCCTGGGGCCTTGGGCCAAATCCAAATCTCCCTGCCTTGGGCAAGGAGATACCACTCTAGGAAGGGGAGTGCAGGTCAAAGACTTGACAATGTTCCATAAACAAAGGCCAAACTTCCCAGTGTGCCATGAAAAAGGAGAGTAGGCCACAAGGAACATTAACAGACTGCAAAAATTAAAAAATACATTATGAAAAGAACCTATGACCTAGGAATAACTGATTTCCGGTTTGAGCCCCACCTACCTGGCACCCAAACCACACATGTCATTTCACTACTACTGACTTCAAACAAACTTCTGTCTCAATGCTCCTACAGTGTCAGAGGTGGAAGTGCACCCACCACCCCACAGGACAAGGTATCAGAGGGCCTCATGACCTGCATGCTGTTGACTGTCCATTGAGAACCAGGACCAAGCTGTACGCATTAAGACCATTTATTAGTGTGTATCAAACGCTTGCTTGATTTTAAAAAAGTCAGATTCCTTGAAACACTTATTAGAATGAGCTAGTCTCAGGGACATGCTTACTAATAGGAGTTAAGCACCTCCTTCCTCTAGAGACACCAGAGAGTAGTCCATAAAAAGGTCAGTCTAAAGTTGTCTAGCAACACAAATACTGTCAAATGAGGAAGGAACATGAGTGGGAAAATACAGTTATTAACAGGATCACACACTAGAATTGGCACAGCACCCTGTTCCTCTTAAGGGAACCCAGATTTAGTAAGCTGTGCCCAAATGCCAGCTATAGGCTAATGTGCCTTATGTGCAAGGGAACCTTGAGAGACCTGCAGAAGATGGCCATCACCACCCCCTCTGTACACCTTTGCAGCAAAGCTATGACCAGGCTCTCCTAAAGCCAGCTCCATCTGTTGAACCTTCTCAGGTGCGCAGGCAAGGAAACAGTGCAACTGATAAAGCCGTATCTTCCTTCAGGACACATTGCATCAACTATGGAGGCTCCGCATCCCCAGACGAGGACAATCCCCACCATCAGGCACACCAGAGACATGCTCAGAAGATCCTGGCAATAAGACATGGTGTAGTCTGACCCTGTCAGCTCTTCAGCTTCTTCCAACAGCTCTGCCCAGGTTCTGTTAACAGCAGAGCTTACTTGCCTGGCTCAAAGAAATAGGGAACCAACTCTCAGCCCAGACAGGCTCATCTAAAAAGCCTGTAAGCAAACAGGACACCCTCATACACCAACTACCCTACCACAGCCGCTTCACCCCAGCCTAGTGAGACCCAGGTGCCCCCGGGTACCCAGCACCGAAAACTCCAAGTCGGTGGCTGCCCCACAGGTTCGCCCAGCCCAAAGATAAGCAAGGGAAGCGCGCACACATTCCCCAGCAAGTCACCCACCAGAGAAGACCTCACGGCGGGCCCGGGGCGCACCCAGAGTCAGCTGCGGACCCTCACCGCATGCACCAGGACACGCAAGCCCAGCCCCCACGGCGTAAATAGCACCGGGGCTTTTATAGCGCTCTTTCCCGGCAGCCCCCGCGCCGGGCCGCGCTGATTGGTTCGTCGGGGACGCGCGCGCGGGTGCGTGCGGGCCGTGGGCGGGCGGGGCCGGGTGGGGCCGGTCTGAGGGAGCGCAGCGCAGCGCCGCGTCGCGCCGGGCCGGTGAGCGCGCACGCCCCCGCCCCGCCCGTTTCCGTTCGCCGCTGCTCGAGCTTAGGCCTTTGGAGCAGGAAGCGGCGGGAGTGAGACCCAGCGCTAGGCCGCAGGTACCGGGGAGGGTTCTTCGCCTACCGGGGGGTGGGTAGTAGGAGGGAGGCAGCTCGCCGGCTTTCTCCCCCTCCCTTCGTGCCGCCGCCGCCGCCGCCGGGTGGGGCCCGCCCTCCCCCGCCGGGATCCCGCGCCGTGGCCTGCGGGCGGAGGCAGTCGGGCCCGGCCGGGGCTATCGCCGCAGCGTCCGAGCGGCATCGCGCGCACAAAAGCGGAGGGCGTGTGCGGCTGCCCCTCGAGAGCCCCCAGGTTTCCGGGGCCGGTAACGGGGTCTTTTCCGGGCGGCGGGGGAGGGGGGGGCAGAGACGGGCGGGCCGGGGCGCGGCCCTGAAGGCTCCCCCCAACTGGAGCCGCTTGTGCCGCGGCGCGGACCGCGCTCGGTGCGGAGGCGACAGTAACTGCCGTCCCCCGCGGCCGCGGGTGTGACACGAGAGGGCACCGGGCGGTGGGGGTGACCCGGCTGACTGGCAGCTTGTTGTGGTGACGTCAGCCGCGCGCGCGGAAGCCGGGCCGTGGCGCTGGGCTCCCGCGGAAGCAGCTCCCGGCGCTGGTAACGTCCGAGCCGAGCGCGGGGCAGAAACCGCCCCCGGAGTGCGGCCCGGAACTTCCCGTTCTGTTGCTGTTTACCGGTGCGGCCTCCTCGGGCCTTAGGCGCGCGGACAAGAGTCTGGCAAAGCGAGCGGTTTTGCTTCGAAACGAACTCTTAGCGCGATCGGCACCGTGTGGCCCAGCAGCCCCTACCTTGGACTGAAAAATACCCAGCTTTAAATTAAGTGGTAGCTAAAGATTCTTTGTCGGGAAGCTCATTCCGTCTGCGGCGAGAGGCACCTCGAGACTACTTTGGTAAAAGAACCAAACAAACACCAAAAACGTATTCTGGAGGTTTACAGAGTTACAGAGGATTAGGACAAAGTGGTGTCCCCACTCAGATGATACTTTAACTGCTCTGATACCCCTTTAAGCTTCTCGGTGAGATGTCTGGAACGGGGAGTTGTTTGTTTTTAGTTGCTGCCTTATATCCAGCTTTTGTTTCTGTCCCGCTGCAGTTCACCTGCTTGGTGCGGGGAGCCGTTTGTCAGCAGCGGATTCCACCCCCCTCTGCGTGTGCTGCAGGATTCGGAGGAGGCTAAATTCTAGGACCTACCTAGGGAATGTTAGGTTTGTTGTTGCAGTTCCCCCACCCAGACCTTAGACTAGGTAACAGTTCCGCTGCCTGTGCAATTTTTAAATGGTGTGCTGCTAGCTCAGAAATCTCAAAAAATTAGTTTTACATGTCCCAAATGTTGTATGGGGCTCAAAGTGTTAGAGTTTCCAGTGGCTTTATTTGGGGATTTTTTCAGTGGGGAAACATGAAGTCTCTCCCTGAAGAGATAATTTGTGAAAATACCTTTATGTTGAAGGTTCTTCTGATACATTGCTGTGCCTTCCTCCTGTCCTTACCCAGGTTTCCAGCCACAGAGCACTAGTATTTCTGTTTCACATCTGCGGACTAATTCTGGCTCTGATTTGGACCAACTTTGCATGTTAAAAAAAAAAACAAAAAACAATTGCCATTAGCCTTATTTTGTTTTAATTAGTTCACTGGAATGTTTCACAGCCTATTCAGCATAAATGCTTGACATAAATGAATTGTAATGAGTGATTTGTGTAATTTAACACTGAAATACAGTTTTTTTTTTTTAAATAATTTCTCAAGACAGAAGAGCACAAGGGACAAAAGAAATGTGGTCACAGAGCTAAGCTGAGCAGCTCCTGTGTTATCCCTTGTAGTTCACTATACTCCAGCTCTGGCCCACTGCCACAGCAACT